AGTAGGTGGTAAGCCTCTATCTGTTAGTCGATTGATATAGGCGATTAGGGCCTGCTCCTGCTGTGGGTGGAGGAGCTGCCGTTTTTGGCCACCTATCGCGCGTGAGGCGTGTAGGCCTTGGTGTCTTCGGGTAAGCGTAGATCGAACAACACTATATTTTTTTGCAATATCTGTATACGAAAAAGGCTTATCAGGTCCTAGGGCATTAATAGCTGCAAGCGCAGCCTCAATATTAGCCATGGTGGTGGGGATACGACGCGTTGAGGTTGAGGTGGTTGTAAGGCGCGCGCGCACTTTGTGGTCGCGCGCACTTTGTGGTGGGGCTAGTTATTTCTTGGCACCCCCACTTCATTCCTTATGCCAGCACGCGTCAAACCACCACCATCTGTCCTCAGCAACCCGCGGCCTAGACGTCTATCCTCACTCTCTACCATTTGAAGCTTTCCTCAAAATACTCTATGCCTGTAAAACCCACGGCCAGCATATGGACACTGGCCTGCCTAGCGTCATCAGCCATGGTGGCTGGCCCGCATCCCACAACCGCTAGTTGCTCGTGCTGTGCCTTCTCTGCCGCCTCTTTGACAAGTTGATACACGTCAGGTCGATGGGGCATGACGATGAAATTTTGAAGGTCATCTGCCAAAACCTCGTCCTTGAGCTCATCGTCGCGTGTTATGTGCACCTCGAGTTCAACTCGCTCGTCGCTCAGCAGACTCTGAAAGTCACGCAGTACCGAGGCAAGAAAGCCATGTTCGCGGACTGCCCATGCAATCTTGACGCGAAGGACGGGCGACGACGGATCGGAAAGAAGATGGGCAAGATAGGATAGCGGTACTGTGATGCCCGTCCCGCCGACAACGAACAATACACTAGCAAAGCCACGGAGAGGGATGCTGTGGCCGTACGGCCCATCAACAAGAACACGGAGCGTCTTTGGGTGTAAGAGGCAGCTTGACTTCAACCGGCGTGTGAAGCCGTTGTAAGGTCGCACGAGAAACACCAGATTCGACGGGGTCTTGACTACATCGTTCGCCAACAGTGTGTCCGATTCGGTAGATGAAGCCGAAAGGCTGTACGGTTGTCCGGAGCTAGAGGTTAGTGGAGTCAGAGGAGCAGCTGGCGATGCCACATCGGACGATACAAACGCTAGAGTAAATGGGTGGTTCTGATGAGCATAGAGTATGTCATCGAGCAAGTGTATATAATAGTACGAGCCTGGCTGAGGCGGCATCATAGTTTGGCTCCCATCCACATCCAAACGCACCAGATTGCTGGCAGAGTCATAGGTTGCTCTAGCCCCGGTGCTGAGTGGTCTGCGACTGAAAGCGAAAATTCGAACCAGACGCAAAGTGCGGTCGAGAATCCAGATGACAAGGCATGGCCAGATGAAGATGTTCCATTCGCCAGCGGTAAAGATTTCAACGTGGTAGTACATGGACCATAAGGCCGCAATGGAGAGCGATATGTGCGTTATCAGGAACATGTCGTAGTGTTTTCGGCGGATGCCGTATAGGGAGAAGGCAAGAAGAGCGCACATGGCAATGGTTGCAATCTCGCCATTCCAAAAATAGTGCTGGGTCCAATACTGCTGGAAGCTTGGCCAACCTTCACGCTCGAGGATCATTACAGTGTAGCCTAGGCTGTGTACGACAGCCTGCAGGGTTGCGAGCCTCGCAACCCAGCGATGGAATGCATTGTAGGTACCGAAACCCCACCCTGTTATCCAAATCAAGGCATCGTTGCGCATGCCAAACAGCCAGACCAAGGGAAAGTTGGCCAAGGAAATGATGCCGGTTCGATCGGAAACGTAGCGCAGCAGCTGCGCAGACTTTTGTGGCCAGTAGAGGTTGCCCTGGGTAAGACGGTATGAGCAGCTACAGAGGGCCACATTCAAGACAAGGAAAAGCAGAATGGTGAGTGACTGGAGACGAGGCGGTATGGTGCACCAGCCGTATGGCCGCGAGCAGCGATGGCCAAAAGCAGCTGGCATGCTAACATGGCGTCGCCAGCGCGACTGAAATGACGCCAAGATGCTGCGAATTGTTGGGGCCGAGGTGGTGCGATGGGCTCGGAGGAGCCTTGGATAGGCTGTGTTCTTCTTGTATTGCAGCTCGCATATCAGCGAACACAGATGGGTTGCGACGCCAGTGGCAACCACTACCGCCCAAAAGTAGTACATGTACCATCTGCATGGCTGTGTTAGCCAGCTCACGTACGCAGCGGGGTAGCCAGTCTGCTTACCCGTATACAAGGTGTATCTTGTACTCCCAGGCAGCAGTTTCCTGTGCGTCACAATTAGTATTACCGAGATACATGGGTATTCGGCCTGGCCTGGATGCATCAACTCGTGCTCGCCTACTTACTACGGTGCTCAGGGCTCGCTGAAAGAAAGCATGTTCAGGTATGACCATGTGGCTCAGCGACGGGAACTTGAGCGCCTGTTGGGCACGCAGCCTCTCGACTTTGGCCTTTTCGTGTGGCTGCCAGTGCTGCAGGACACGTTGAAGAGGCGGCAACGTGACGTTTGCAGTCTGGTAGCACGCGGAGCTCTGCGTCTTGATCCAGTCTGCGATTGCGCCGTCTCGTGTGCAGAATTCATCGAAACATAGGTACACCGACGTAATGTGCATGTCGCTTCGGCATCGGTTGACGAGCCAAGACGACGAAGGGGGCGTGTCGTTGAAAGTCACATAGTTGATTGTGGTTTCGCAGGCCAAGGGGCAGTATTCACCCGCATAGAGGGCATGCGCTACACGTACATGGCCAGGGTCGGGTGGAGATGCGGGAAAGGCGGAATTGCGCATGTGCATGAGTGGACGCGATCGAGGATGCGGCGTAGTCTGTGGTGATGCAGACTCGGATGGCAGTGGAGAGAAGCTCAGCGCAGCTCATCAGGTACAAGGCGGCCGGCCAGAGGTGCAGCGCCAAGGGGGACTTTGCAATTCGGCCATTCGGCCTCTTTGTTCCTGGGCTCACATTACATGTACAAACAATCGATATATATATATATGTATAGGGCCGTCGCCTTTGCTTCCAACAACGACAGCACCGCCAATTCTTGTATATTGCGCAAAGAAAATGCCGTTTCCAAGACCCTTTGTGAGAAATCTACTCCGAATGTCAAGTTCCCGTCTCTCCCTCTGTGCGCATGGCCGGCTGATACGCCTTGCAAGTGGATGGCGAGGTAAAGCTGGAAGAGTACCGTACACGGCCATGTAGGCTCCCTAAACAACCGTAACCTACAGGACAAGTACAGTGTGGCTCAATGAAGGATGCTCCCGATTGGGTCTAGCGCAGCAGCATCGTCACCTCGACACTCTCACTCTCTGCTCTCCACCCCACTCCACCCCACTCCGCCCACACACACCCTTGAAACGGCTTCATCGGCATCCAATCTCAAGCACAGCCAGACGGCAAACGGCAGCTCAGTGGACACCTACTATAGTGTGCTGCTGATTCCGATGCTGATGACGATGCTCCTCTCCAACCAACGTCACAACACGACAAGGATTGGCGCCGCTGTACTGCACCTACATGCCACAGCGCCACTGCCGCCCACCCACAATCACATCTGTTCTTCCATTCTTCCATTCTTCCATTCTTTTCCTCGTCTCCAAGCATGGGCGTCGCTGTCTCTGAGCTGATCGTCCCGTTGACGGGCGCCCTTCAGGCCGCCCTCTCGGTCCTTTTGACCATTGCCTTGGGTGTGGCGGCAGCACAGTGCAATCTGCTCTCGCCCAATGCAGCCAAGGAGGTTTCACGAGTATGTGTGCCTGCGCTACTCATCTACAAGATTGGCTCCAATTTGCATCGAGACACGGGCATGCGATAGGTCCCCATTGTCGGTGAGTAAAAGGGCCTTGTGCCGCATGCACATGTATGTATGTATGTATGCTTATGTACGCACAACGCACAGTCTGGTCCGTCTTGTACACGCTCCTCTCCATCTTCTCCGGCCGCCTCTTCGGCCGCCTCTTCGCAGCGCCCGCCTGGGTAGCGCCCGCCATGGTATTCAACAACACGACTTCCCTTCCGCTGCTGCTCATCCAATCGCTCAAGCAGACGCAGGTCCTCGATGCTATCCTCATTGCGGGAGAGTCGGGAAGCAAAGCCATGGATCGGGCTGAGTCGTACTTTTTGGTGAATGCCATGGTCAGCAATTCGCTTACTTTTGCGCTTGGGCCCACGTTACTGCGCCCACGAGACCAAGATGCGCCCCAGAGCCGTGACGAATACCAACAACATGGACACGCACACGCAGAGGCTGGCGCCGGTGCTGATGCTGATGCTGATGCCGATGCCGACAGCGGCGACATGGAGCGCGGTCCAGAGGGCATTGTAAACGAACACACTTCGCTCCTCCCCCACGCCCTGGTCCACCACACAAACCGCACAGAGAGAAGCGCATATCTCAAGACACTCAACTGGTACAACAGCTTGTCACCTTGTTCAGGTTCATTGTCTGGCCGCTGTAAGTCGATCGCTAACCATTTTGTGTGCCAGTAAAATAGCTCGCTTACACGCTTTAGAATCAGCATTCCTTTGATATGGGCCATTGCCTCCAAAACCAAAATACTAGACGCCGATCCCATGCTGTGGTTCTCGATGATGTTGATGCCCACCGGACCACCAGCCATGATTCTGGTGGCACTGTCTGACGTGACTGGCGCTACAGAGACCATGAAAATGACTGTTGCCATATTCTTGACGGTACATACTACACGGCTCACTATACTTGGTACTCTCCGCTGAAGCGCTATTAGATCAGTTACGCACTTACACCAATCATATGCTTTTCAGTCGTTGGAGCCTTGAAGGCCACCGAAGCTTCAATAAAGGTATAGATGCTCGCACAGAGAGCACCCGTGACCGCGTGCAAAGGGTAGGCATCCCTCGGTGAGTGCAACAAGATTAATCAAGTAGATACTCCAGATAGCTGCATGTAATAAAACAGTCTTCTACATGTATGGCTGCTACACGTACGAAGCATTCATGGTGGTTTTAAATCAAGCTTTTCTCGGGGCAATATCTCTCAGTGTAAGCACTATTCGGGGGTAATGCCGAGCGTGGATCCACTTTACCTACTGTACGGAGGTGCCTCACAAAAGTTTTGTCCTGCCAAGAATAATTTAGCCGAAATCTGGCCGCTCTCCTACACAACGCCTATCTCTCCCCTCTATATACTCATTACCACCTTGTAGCTCAATTATCTTTGGAATATGTATAAGAATACGCTCAATCCAATCTTGGATCTTAGCTTGTGGGAGATCTCTCCAGCAATTTAGCCAGATTCTAGTTGCCTTCCGTTCTTGACTGTGGAGCTCCTTTCTTGTAGTCTCT